CCCCCCCCCCCGCTTGCCTTCAATACCTCCCACTTGGACGTGTCAGCCTCTGCCCCTTGGGGATTGCACCCCGCTCCTTGGTTTGATGCCTCCCTGCCTTGGGTATTGCCCTTCCATCCCCACTGGCCTCACCTGAAGCATCTCTAGTTCCCGGCGTGCCTGATTCAGCTGCTTCTCCAGTTCTGCGATCTTGGCCATGGACTCATTCTCTGAGTCCTGGAGCTTCTCTGTGAGCTGCAAGAGGAGCTTATGTTCAGCTACTGCCCCCCATGAGTGGGACAAAGCAATGGGATTGAGGTGTATGGTGGGGAGGGACACAGCACATGGGGAATAAGGTGGGATATTGCAACTCCAACACAGAGCATCCAGGCCCTTGGACATCTAGGTGCCAGCATGAACCCTTTGCCCTCCCATATCCCGTTTTCCCTGCATCCTGCTGGGATCTCCCATGCCACAGCAAAAAATGTCTCCCTTTCAAATGACAAGGATTAGGAGGTTCCCTCTTCCAGGACACCATGGCCCCTATGAACAATCACAGGCCACTGGAACCTCCTGGCCGAATCAGCAGCGGCAGACCTGAAGGACACCCTGGTTTGGTGGAGTTATCTTGTTATCAGGTGCCTCTTGTTCTCCAGCAGCTGCCACTGGAGACTTGGTAGAGCAGGGTAGGCTACCTTCTTCTTCCAGGACCATTGCCTAGCCAATCCTTCCCTGGACTATATTTGCATAGGCAATTATTCCATCCCAGAGCTTGGTAATGCTAAGGGCAGGAGGAGAAACCCAAGAATTTCAGCCCTTCCCCCTCCACACTGGCCATGGAGATGTGCAGGACACAGGATCACAGGAAAGTATGACTGGGAGGGACCTCCTGAGGCCATCTAATCCAGCCCCCTGCTCAAGACAAGATCCTCCATGACTAAATTATCCCAGCCAAGTGTCTGTGTAATTTGTTCTTTAAAATTTCCAAGGATAGAGATTTCATAACCTCTCACAGTAGCCTGTTCCAATGCTTAAACATCCTCACAGTCAGAAGGCTCTTCCTAATCTCCAATTTAAATTTCCTATGCTGCAGCTTGAAGAACACTGCTTCTAGTCCTGTCCCCTGCAGCCAAAAGTCTCTCTCTCTATAATCATCCTTCAGGATATAATCATACAGGATACAATCACTATAATCATCCTTCAGGTATTTGAAAACTGCTATCAAGTTCCCCCTCAGTCTTCTTTTCTTCAAACTAGATAACCCTAGCTCTTTCAGCCTTTCCTCATAAGCAGGGATCCTGGTTTTCTCTGTTTAAAAATCCCAAATTCTCTGCTAAAGACCCCAAATTTTCTGATCAAAACCCCCAAATCTGCATTTTTCTGCAAGTAAAATGAAATGCCAGTGTGTGTGTATATATATAAGGAAGGGGGTGCGTGTGTGGGAAAGAGGGTGTCTGGGCACAGGAGACACAATCGGGGGCAGGCAAGGGCACAGGTGATATGTGGGGGAGGCAAATGCCCCCCCCCCCAGATTTCTGTGCCCACAGTGTGGTGCAGGGCTGCAGCTGGGCCAAACCAGCTCTGGGCAAGAGCCACCTCCGCAGCCCAGTGGGCAGGACCTGGCTCAGGAGGGTGCGCCACGTCAACATGGTCACCAAGGTGAGAGACAGCAGTATTGAGTTGTGTGCCCACTGCTGCTGCATGGGCAAGGGGTGCCTCATCTTGGTGGCCATGGTGGCATGGCTCTCTCTCCCACACCAGGTCCTACCTGCTGGGCTGTGGAGTCAACTCCTGCACAGAGCTATTCCAGCTAGGCTGGAGCCCCACACCCTGCTGTGGATGCAAAAATCTGGGGTGGTATGTGCCCCCCCTGCCCCTCTTCTGCATCACCTGTGTCCCCTCTGCCCCCTTGCTGTATTACCTGTGCCTCCCCAGCCCCTCTGCCATGTCAATTGTGCCCCTCCGCCCCCTGCTACATCGCCTGTGCTCTCCTGCACCCACAGATTTACCTAGAGAGAGCTGTAAGAAGTGCTCTCTGTCACCCTGCCTGGCTGCCACATGCATGTGCGTGCGTGCCCCTTGCCCCTGTGTCTCACTGCCCCCAGCCACAAGCAGCCCCTTGCAGGCTGGAACTTTGCAGTTTTCCAGGTTTTTCTGCTTTCTACAGCAAGCAGAAAACCTGAATCCCATAAGTCACATTTTACAGGCCTCTAATTATTTTTGTGTCTCCGTGCTGGACTCTTTCCAATCTGTCCACAGCCTTTTTGAAGTGTAGGACCCAAACTGGACACAGTTCTCCAGGTGAGACCTCATCAGTACCAAACAGAGTGGAAGAATCACTTCCCTTGATTTATAAGTAACACTCCGATAGTTAATACAACCCAGGATTCTGTTGACTTTTTTTTTTTTTTTTTGCAACAAGAGCACACAATATTCAGTTTCTTGACTACAGTAATCCCTAGGTCCTTCTCTGCAGTACTGCAGCCTGGCCAGTCGTCCCCCAGGCCATGTTGGTACATGCAATTATTCTGTCCTAAGGACAGGACTTTGCATTTCTTGTTGAATTTGATCTAATTGATTTTGGACCATTTTTCTAGTCTATCCAGGTAACTCTGCATCCTAGGTCTGCCCCCCAGAGTGTCTGCAACTCCACCCAACTTGCTGCCATGTGCAAATCTGTTAAGTATGCACTCAGTCCTATCCTCCAATTTATAAATGAAGAAGTTAAGCAATACTGGAACCAGGACAGACTCCTGGGGAGCTCAACTCAATAAATCCTCCCAATTAGATGTCACACTGTTGATGACTACTCAGTGATGACTACTCACCTGTGCCACTTGTTCCTGCAGGTCCTCCATGTGCTCCAGCACAGCGTTCTTGGTTTCAGTTTCCTCTAGCAGGGCGCTCACATCGAAGATGTTGTCCAGGTATGCCTGGATTTGCACTTGTAGCCTGTCGCTCTCTGTGTGGCGCAGCTTCTGCAATGAGATAGCCAGGAACCCTGTTCAGAACCTGTCCCAGGCCCAGCCCCAACCCTACCAGACAATTACAAGTGCCTCGCATCCACAGCTCTCAGAGCTGGGTCTGAAACCTCCACACACTTCCTCTCCTGGGTGGAGGATCTCCAGCTTCTGAGCATGGCTTCTTTCTCCTGGCATATCCAAGTTTATGGCCCACTACATTATTTAATGTGTGGTGGGTACAAACCCAGTCAGACCAAGAAGCCTGCGTGGGTAGATGGTCATAGGCAGAGGGTGCCCTCAGTTAAAAGAATCATCCAGCAGGAGGAGCATGCAGAGCAATCTGCCCACAGCCCCCTGCATCCCTTCTAGACTTAAGGCTCAGATACACAGCATGTTTACACCAGTGTAACCAGCCTTTCCACCACTGTAAAGGAGCCAACATAAGACATTCAACTCTATACCAGTGTAACTTACTTGAACTCCATGTAGAATTACCCCAGGGAAAAATTCAGGGAAAAAAATGGCACTGGTTTAAGTTATGCTAGTGCAGATGCTGTATGCTAGCAGCTTATCCTGGGGAAGCTGTTTGCTAAAAGCAAAGAAGCTACTGCTCATTCTCTGCCACCTAGTGGCAAGGCAATGTAACAGTGCCTACTGCAGCAGCTGCCCCAGGACAACTGCTTGTCTGTTCACTCTGGACCCTGGTATGGTTCTCTCTGACCGTACAACATCTGTGCAAGTTACACCAGTGTAAATGTATCATGTATCTAAGCTTCTTGTGTCTGTAAGGCCAGCCAGAGAGGGTAAAAGATCAAGCTCACCTCAAGGTACTCATCTAGGCCCAGATGAGTGAATTCATACTGTAGGAAGACTCGGAAGTTCATGTTCTCCACTGAGTGCACTACAATATTGATAAACTGCATGCAGGCCACCTGTAAGGGTAGACAGAGGTTCAGGGCTAAGGCAAGCAGCAGATTGACAGAAGTGGGGACAACATAACAATCAGGGGCCACTCAGAGCAGCAACCTCCCACCTTACTGAATGCTTGGGCACACAACAGAATAAGGATCATTTAACATATCACAGGAAGTGGCAGAGCTGGGAACTGAATCCCAGGTACCAGCCACTCATATTGTCTGTTTCTTAATGCAGCTGTTCTGAATCCAGGGACACAAGGCAGACCTTGGGCAAACCAAGCTGCTGGACACAGGAAGCTCTGAGCCTCAGAACACCATGCTAGCAGTTCTCAAGGCATTTGGAAAGGCCCATTGTCAGCTCAGAGAGATCACCCTCCCCGACAAGCCTGAAGGAGCTTCATTTGTCATATGGGTCTGACTACCCTCTCATAGCTGATACCCTATAGAAGGTAAAAGCCTTGTTACTACTGGCTTCAAAAGGGATTCTCTTTTGGTTCAAGTGGCAGAAGCTGCAGGCCACAGCCTCTTTTCCCTATGCCACATGCATGTGAGTTAGTGGACTGCTACAAAGCTGGTATGGGACTACAAAGCCTGTATTCCCCTGGATACGGAACATGCCCGTGTTCACTGACTTGGAGAAAGGGCACTGTTAGCAGCCCTGTCCTGCCCTAAGTGGATGGAAAACCAGCTAGGTATTCCAATCACATAAGGCCTCCAGATGCCGAGAGGCAGTGCACAGCATGGATGTGGGCTGACTGCTCCCCACATATGGCTTTCCCCTCCCAAAACACTCACCATGAAGTCAATATTACTGTCTTCATTCCGGAAATACTCCATCAGCTTCTCAAAGCGATTCTTCTCCCCACAGACCTACAGGCAAGAGCAGAGACTATCAGCTTGAGTGGCCCTGAAGTCCTAGAGAAGGTGCCCATTGGCACCAAGCAAGGGAACCTGGTTCCTAAACACTGCCATGAAGCTGCTGAAAGGAGCAGCTATACCTAAAGCTTCTCCCAGCACTCCCAGCTTCCGCACCACTCAGTCCTAGACCACAGTCCCCCAAAGCTGCCTCCTCAGCACCTCCACTATGTTCCCATAGACCAGAGCCTCCCACAGCGTAAGGTAACAAGCACCACAGTGCAGAGAGGCCTGGGCTGTGGCTGGGACACTAGCTATGACCACACCACAGGCGGCCAATAACAATCCAGTCCCTTCCCTATCTCAAAAGATGCTGCAGCTGCTACACAAGGCCCTGACTTTGACGCCCCCACATGGCTTGGGTGCTGGGTCTCATATCCATCTTCAGTACTAGATTCTTTGCCTTGCATTGGGAGCCCACAGGGTCAAGTGGGAGAGTTCTAGCTCTTGCAGTGCCTACCCTAGCACTGGACTGGGCTCCTGGGTGACTCCCAGCATGGTGCTGACATGCTTGTGCCATCCTACCCACATATTGTGCTGGGCCACTTGTTATGATGGGACCTGAGTCCTGCCAGCCTAGCCTAGCCAGAGCAGAAAGGGAAAGAGAGGGAATCCAAGTGACAACCCTCCACACTGTTCTCCTACCTGCCTATCAGGAGCCCCTGCCGTGTGGATTTGTGGGGACTGTGGGTCCCTATGGCCCATCTCCCAGTGCCTCTGGGGCTCAAAGAATAGTCAATGCATTCATTTGCAATCTCCCATGGTACAGCACCCTTCCCTGGAGGACATTAAGCCTGCAAGCTTCATGCCTCTGGGAGGATGGCAGGATTTGTGCTGGAAGGGACTTGGCCAACATCCTGCGGCATGTTAGCAGCAGGACCAGGAACAGCTGCCAGGTGTCCTGACCCTGAGAACAGCCATGATGGGGATTTGGTCCAATGATGGGGACAGCACAGGTGGCTGCTGAAATGGATGCGCTCATGACCTGAAACCTGACAGCTGCTCACAGCTGAAGGATTCCTCCCCATGCTGCTGCTGCCCTTGCTCTGGGAGACCCTGCCATGGTGCACATTGGCACAGCTCCAGCTGAGGGATCAGGTATGCTCTCCTACATGAAGTGCTCTGGTGTCAGCTTGTGCTTCCCTCTCCCCATCTCCCCCTGCCAGCTGCAGCCCCAGCTCCCTGCTGCTATGCAGGGGAATTCAATCCAGCATCCCATGTCAAGCAACCTGCCTCTTTGTTTAACCTCACCATGCAGGGCTACAGGGACAATAGGGGGATGGCTAGGAGCTGCTCCCTGAAAGATGATGCCAGCTTCTCCTGGGGGCCCTGTCGCTGACCACATGGCAGACAACAGCCAGCCAGCACCCCTATGCCTCACATGAGGGAACTCAGCAGGTCAGTTCTGGGACAGTAACAGGAGGAGGAGGAGTGGCCAGGGGCAACCACAGGACTCCTGCCCAGGTCTGAAGCAGCAGGAAGCCTTAGCAGATGGGCACAGTGGACAGGATGGCAGTGCACTGACTGAGCTGTGCAGCCTCAAACACCTTCCCTTCCACCCCCTCCAGAAGCTCAGGACACCTTCAGAGGCCCCAAACCCATGAAGCCTTCCTCCAGCACACATAATCTAGCTCTGGGGTTGGGCTGCATGTGGGCAGCAGAGCTCTCTCAGGTGCTGTTGGCCTCCCTCCTCCTCCAATAGGTACTTTCTGCCAGCTGCCGTGTCCCAGCCCCAGCTTGTGCCGCATTAGCAGATTTCAAGAGTCATCCTAATGTGAGGCAGGCATCCGAGCACTGTTCAAGCCAGCCAGAATTTCACAGCTGGCAGCCCCATGTTCAGCAAGAAAGATATATTTATAGCCTGGCACAGAAGATAGATTGCCCCCCTCCATCCTTCTCCTGCAGGGGTGCATCTGTGACATTTTAATTAAAGGGATATCGTCCCTCAGTTCAGAGCTCAGAGGTCAAGGTGTGTGGAGGGATTTTGTTGGCCTCAGTGAGTGCAGTGAGTGAGCCACTGCTTTCAGATTTTTATGAGTACAGCACCTTAAGGGCATTCTCCCAATGAGAGGACAACTTTGGCTGTGTCTGGATGCAGGTAAGAGTTCCTGAGTCACATGAAGAGGGACGCGTGTATGGACTTTCATATGGTCTTGATGAAAGCCAATGGGACTGTGCTCCAAACACTCCTAGGCAAATTACAAAATCTTTCCCAGCTGTGGAGATGCAGGATCTGGGGCAGGCAGCCAGGTTACACCTGTGTCTGTGCAAGGACAGTGTGCTGGGGCTTCCCAGCCTAAGGGTCAGAGCAGGGACTGAGAGGCCGAATACCTGAATTCCACCCCTGGCTCTGCCCTGACTCATTGCAGGGCCTTGGGCACATCCTACCTCTCTCTGTGCCTCAGTTTCCCCCACCTGTGGTAGACAGATAGTAACCATAACCTCTTTGCATGAAGGCTGGCACATTAGCATCCAGTTAGCACTCTGCAATCTATGCCCAGAAGGGGACTCAGCTTGTTCCTCCCTGCTAGGGGCATAAGTTGAGAGGAAAAGCCAATGCACGGCACCCCTCCAGAGGACACTGGGTCCATGCCAAGGCAGCAACTCACACATGATGTGACAACCTAGGGCCATCAGCCATAGTCTGGGGCAGGAAACCAAACAAGTTACAGTCAAGCTCTGAGCAGTCTCCTCAAACTGTCACCATTCAGAACACTCTACCCATGGGCAACTGCCACCCCTGAGGACAAGGCAGAACGACCTGCCGGGTGCCACTGTGGCCTGGGGTAGGCTTCTTGCCTTTCCAAAAGCAGTAGAGTCATGCCCCACCTCTACCCTTTGTGGCCTTGTTCTTCCCTCCATGGTCACATCAACTCCACCAGGGGAATGGCATAGTTGGGAGCAAGGTAAAATATACAAAGGATGTGAGCACCACTGGCAGCGTACACTGCACTTGGCGGTTGTCATATCTGCTGGGTCTGAGAAAATGACCTCTCTGCAGGGTGCTGCACACGTTTGTAGGGGCACGCAGGAAGGAGGAAAAGTGGGTGAGTGGTTGCGACTGGGTTTTGTTGGGGAGTGTGGCTGCCTGAGGCAGAGCAGTGTGGGTATGTGGGTGGGTGTCTGTGGGTATGTGCAAAGTTCCTGATGCACCACTGCAAATGCAGGCCTAGAACAGGAAGGCAAAGCAAGTGTGCCTCAGAGCTGGTACACAGCCCACCAGGCTTCAACCCAGCCAGAGCATCACCCTTCCAAAGTGTTTCCCCTGAGCTGCCCATGCACAGAGAGCCACAGCAGTCCCCATTACCACAGATGGACTGGTGTGCTTCTCTGAATGGGTGTGAACAGAGTGCCAGCCAGGGGCTATGGGAGGGGGGTGGAGTGAGACACGATTCAACTCTTTCCTTGTCACATGCACACAGCACTGATTGGAACAGAACCAAGGTCTCAAAGTGGTGACACTCAGTCACCACCTCCCTTTGACAGCTGGGGAAACTAAGGCATGGAGAGGTGAAAGGATTTGCCCAGGGCTGCACTGAGAACCAGTGTCAGGGCTCAGCATAACGGAGATAGAAACTCTTTGTTCCTATCACTACACCAATCCCACCCCTCACATGTTGTCATATCCCCAGCCTGTGGGCTCCCAGAGCCCACTACCCTTCAGAGCTGGGCCCTCCCTGGGCTTGGGCACCAGTCCCTAGGGACCTACCTCCTTGAAATTGTCAAATGCAGCAAGAATGATGTCATGCCCCCCTCGGACCAGGCATACAGCAGCCAGCAGCTCCAGGACAAGTGCTTTGGTTCTGTGAGGAAGGCACAGGGTCTGAGCAGAGCCTCCCCCTCAAACAGTGAGGACAGTGGGGGGGGGGTGGAGAAGGAACAGTGGGGGCACATACCTGGGATTCTTATTATTCAAGCTCAAGGTGATCTCGTTGACGCAGGCTGGATGGTTCATTACCAGGCTGAATCCAGACTAGGAGGAGAAGGCAGCTTTAGCAGGGCATAAGGGCAGAAATGACTGTTGGGGCCAGTCCCAGCCCTCACTTGTGTACAGACTACATGGAGAGGCCTGGATTGGTGGGGATCCCATGGAAGCAAGGCCCATGCTGGCTAGTACTCAGCAAGCTCCATGCCCACTGCCCATCCCTTCACTACCCCCCTCCCCCATCTAAGCCATGATGAGACCCAGAAGCAATCCCCACCAAGACACAGGCAAGGGGAGGACCCCCAATGAGGAGTGGGTGCCTTGTGTTACTGCAGCTTGCAGAACCCTGTGTCAAGCTGAAAAGAGACATGTCTCCAGGCCCAGAGGTACATGCAGCCCTGGCCTCCAGCCAGGATACAAGCTGAGGTATGAAGAGCTGGAGCAGCAAATGGATGAGGCACAACAGAACAGGACGGAGGAAGGGTGACACTAGTGAAAGGGGTGAGAGGAGCAACAGGAAGGTGGCCAGCCAGTCTTAAGACAGCCCAGGCTTCCAGCCCCTCCTTGTAGAAACAGACCTGTCACCAGCACAGCCTCCACTCACTCCACAAAATGCAGGAAATGGGTAAGGGCCAAAGCTCCCTAGCACCTTCCACACCCTGCAGAACTACCCATGTGGAACCCCAGGGTCTAAATGGAAGGATGGCTGTGCTGCCTGGCTTGTGCTGGCTGACATAGGGTCTCTGGTTGAGAAGGGCAGGAGGGGAGACTCATGTTAATATAGCAGGGTGATTTCCAAGAGACAATCCCAGCGGAGTAGCACTCACTAATCACTGGACCTGGAAGAGCCTTCCCTGGGCTAGTTTCTGGCTAAACTGACCTGAGTCACCCCAAGGCCAACTCAGGAATGAGAGAGGAACTCCCTATCCCAAGCATAGTGGAGTCCATCTGCTGTCCTACACAGACCCAGGGGTCTGCCGGAACCAGCCAAGACTCTGGACAACCTCTAAGACCATCCAGAGCCCCTCAATTCCTCTGCACTGCCTGGTGAAACCAAAGAAACCGTGGGCCCTGCCCAGCAGCTTGAGGCATGTACCCAGCCTAGCTCTCTCCAATGGAGTTGCCAAGTCCCTCTGAAGGGAAGGGGCTCTCCTGGGTAATACTCCAGCCCTGGCAGACAACGTTGGCTCCATGTCTTGCCCCCACCTGGTAGTTCATGATGGCACGCAGGCACATGATGCAGACATGGACGTCGTCCTTCTGGCTGACAATGCGCGAGTTCCGCAGGGCTTTCCTGCTATGCGTTGGGTTGAGTCTGAAGCAAAGAAAAACAGCGAGTGATGCCGAGGCAGGACCCAGCTGCTGCAGCATGCTCAGAGCAAGCATTGGCGGGGGAAGTGAGGGGCAGCTGGCTCAGGAGAGGGGAAGCTGGGGACAGAGCCTTCCACCTCTAGGCCACTGGCATACATCCAAGCTGGGGCAGTTTCCCACAGATCAGTGCACAGGCTGTCTTGGCAGAGAGGCCAATGATGGAAGGGGCCACGGAAGCTGTGCTCTGCTTCCAGCCTGCAGATGAGTCCCTCCAGGTCAGGCTGGGGGGAGCTGCTGTGCTTGCTCTGGGGAGCCAAGAGAAGACCCCAGTCTCCAGGGCTGTTAATCTGGTGCCTTTCACCTGCACTAAGGCCACTGAAAAACACTGATGGGCTGGGATGGTACGCCGGCATCAAGGCTGGATGGAGAGTCCAGCTTAGTCCGCACCTAGCATGCTGACAATGTCTGGGGGCTGAAGGGAGGCTCACCGGGGTGGATGGGAGTTCATGGGTGGCCGGGGTTTACTGTCCTGATCGCTCCAAGGGGTGCTGGAGGGAACACATGGGTGGACTTGTTGAAAGAATGAGTGGATCTGCTGGTTCAAGAGGCAGCAGCTGAAGGAGGATTACAGCCTGCAGGACAGGAGGGAGAAAGAGGACTTGATGCAGATGCTCCCCCCTCAGTGAAAGATGGAAGAAGTGGAACTGAGGGGGCTTTGTGGCAAGCTGAGTTGTGTACAGCTAGCCAGGAAGTTGTAGTGCTGAATGGAACAAGGCAGCAATGTCACTGCGCTCTTCAGAAATGGTCTATTGCTCTTCTGTATTTAAAAAAAAAAAAAGGGGTGCAACACTTAGGAAGAGTCCCTGGCCTCCTAACATTCACTGCACTGACAGCTACTCTCCTACCCCAGACACTTCAGAGCAGGCACTGCCCATTGATGACCTTATGGGCACTTCAAGGCCACAGGCCTCAGGGCACAGCTAGCACCACAGGCACTGTGTGGTCCCTGTACAACAGACACCAGAAGTAGCAACAGAAAGAACCATCCCTGTCAAAGAGGCTGCATTTGTTCTTAAATGGTGTTCCTACTCTTCACTGCCACAGGGCTAGTGGACTCCAAGCTTCTCCTGTCTGGTTTCCAGATCCAACATGCTGTGGCTACTACAAAATGATTTTTCATAGGTTTGAGGCCAACAAGGACCACAGCAATCATCTAATCCAACACAGGCCAGAGGGTTTTCCTGAATTAAGCCCCTTTGAACTGGAACAATCTTCTAGGAAAACATCTAATCTCAATTTAAAAGCAGCCTGGGACACAAAATCCACTGCAGCCTGTAGGGAGCTGTTTTCAAGGGAATTTCCCAGCCTTGCAAATGCATTGTGGGAGGGGGTGGGAAAGCCACTGCAAACTCTTTCCTTTTCATGCACCCCTACCAGCTCTATATGTTCTGCAGGTTAAACCAAGCCCCTGCTACCACCTGTGCCAGAGGTCATCAAGAGGAGCTTGGTCAATGGTTATACAGATGTACAAAGAGTGTCTCTCCTCAAGGGCAGGGCTCCAGATCCTTCTGTCATGGCAGGGCTGGCTGGGCAGAGTTGCCTGGAGGAAAGGCTCTTCTTGTTGAGCCAGAAGGCCTAACCTGGGGCACAGACAAGGAGTGGAGGAGCCAGGGACAAAAGGGTCATTCTTAGAGAGTGAGGCAACACCCATGGGTGACCTTAAATTCAACTAGTAACAGAGCCAAGAGGCAAGGCCATAAGCCTATCCTGGCAATGGGAACACTGGAGCAGGCAGCTGAGGCAAGTGTCCACCATCCCAGAGACCAAGCCCTGGCTACCTACCATAAGGCGCATCCCATGGGCAGCGTGAAAAAAAAAGATTGTGGTTAGAACATGGACATGGGGAGCACATTAGGGAGCATGCAGTGAGCAGGGGCTGAACTCAAACCACCTCCCAATAAAACCATCTTAATGAGTCAGGTCGAGCCTTGGGGTGGGTGGGTTGAACTCCACAGAGGCCATCTTGAAAATTTCATCCATTCTCTGTTCTGCCATAGAATCGGTGGCAAGACTTGAGCAAGATACTTAGTCTCTGTTTCTCAGTTTCCTCATTTTTTAAATGGAGATAACAACAGTACCCTACTTAATGGTGGGAAGGAAGGCAGGCTCCACAGATCAGCACCTTGGTAACTGGGGCCAGAAAAGGACTAAAGACAAATTATCAGAACAGAATGTAGGGTACCTGCTCTAGAGTCTTCTGCATTAGAGGCTCCTTCCATTACACATGCTATTAGTTCATTAATAATGTTTCTCTGAGCTGATAAGCTCCTAGGTTAATTGTTCAGGGGGCAGCTGTTGTTAAGCTAAGAAGAATGTCCTCAGACTACA